GTGGAATATTGGCTCTCTATTTCAGCCATAAGCATATTTGACTCTATTGACGAACGACGCCATTTATTTGATGAAGATCGAAATTTTGATCTTTAGAATTAAGCTTTAATTAATTAACATAAAATCAAAATGATCTACTCGTCTACCAAAAAAGACTATCTTATAACTACCAAAATAGACTACTTTCTTATTTCTTGAAACATTATGGTATATATCATCAACTTTAGATGTACAAGTATGTTGACTATGTAGTTTAATTTATATGATCTTAATTTTAGGTTGGATTTAATTGTTCATTGTTCTCAAATGTTTGACATGTATAACAATATAAAACGCATTGGGTGTACACCTGTAAAGATTATATTGTAAACTTTTAAATAAATAAATAATAAAATGTTTTTCTCTATGAGATTTAACGAACAACATAAAGAGGTTTATAACATACAAAAGTATCGAAAATCCGATCCGTAACACACTGCAAAGAAACTTGTCGTCTTAGAAACACAGTCAGGAACGATAAATGTGATTGCAACGACCTCAACACCTTGTAACAAAGCACAAATTCGTTTGCACCTTTTTAATTGACTAGCATACTTAATAATCTTCTACACGCTACTCTTTCGTGGAACTGCACTATGCCTAGCCATTAAAAGTAATTACGTCCAATAAAATTCTTGCTCAATTTTTAAAGCGATTTCTTCAATTCTACAAGTTGATGCGATAGATAATATCAATTGAGTATAAAAGTGACTATCACGCAAATTTGAAAAATGTTCCATAAAAATGATTGTTCTAATTGTTGTGGTGGCCCACACGTTACGGCACCCGCTTCTCACGCATAAGAAGCGGTATGTAGGTTCAAAAATTAATTAGTACCTACGTATCACTGTAGCTATTAAAAGTTGAATGTCCAATGCATTTTTTATTTTATATGATTTATAGGCAAACGAGCTTACGGATTACCTGATGTTAAGAAATCAGCGCCGCTCATGGACACCCGAGTGCGTTGCCGACCATTAGGTAATTTCGGATTTTGATATTTAGGGATTGGGGACGGGAAGGATTGGGCCTCAGGTAACCCCACTCACACGGCGAAACACAACGCTGTGGTTGTTTCACGCCGATTTTCTTTGAGACCGTGGTATTACCTACACCGGTCGAGCCGACCCATTCGTGCCGAAGCATGGAATTCCTACACTTTCAATGACTCTTCCGATTCCCTATTGGACGAAAGATTATGCTAGCCCTCATTGCAACTGCCAATCGGCTAGTTGCGGTAAGAGCAATAACGTACCGCGGCCTCGGCCTGTAGCAGAAGAAGGGACAGGATGATTTTTAGTCGGTAAGAGTCTGACACTTCCTCTCGCCGCATCCTAAGAAGTCATTTGATGACATTCCCCCTTCAGAAAATAAAATGCCCATTGCAAGTGCGACTGTCGAATCAAGACTCGGGTTCAGTAGTTATTCGAAAATTCGTTAAGTAATACTTAACACATTAGCAAATAAAATAACTGCAAAAAATTGATAATACTGCAACTGATTCGAAAAGTAATACCCATAATGTAATGTTACTTTATGTGGTTAGCTTTTTGACCGCCATTTTCGGCTATTATCGTATGCTCAATAGAAAAGAGTCATAACTCAAAAAAATACTGTTTTATGGTACAACAATAAGGTGCAATTTAGAAATATCCTCTCTTATGGGTTTGTTCTATTTTGTATTAAACATGCGTTGTCGATGGCAAACGCAAAATAGGCTAATTCGCCAATCTCTAGTACGTTTTGTTTGTCATCTATAGCCAACCGTGGCTGTCAAAAGGTTAACAGTCAGAAACATGGTTATATAATTGTTTACCTAGTGTGTGTAGGTATTAAGTTTATTTTAAGTTCCACAAACCTGCATAGCATGATGCGGCCCCATACCAAGTCCCGCACTGGCCACTCGCATCAGTTCCACAGTATTAAGGGCCACTGGACGAGGCTTTACTTTCTCCTTTGCTTGAATATTTACTACACTGTTGAAACAAGCATTCAATAATATATCATCTTATATTTATAAAAAAAATCGCAAAATGAGTTGTTATATAAGCGCGCAACTCAGAAACGCATGGACCAATTTTACCAATTCCTTTTATAAAGCTGAAGAGTTTGTTTGTTTGAACGCGCTAATCTCCGGAATGACTGGTTCAAATTGACCAATTCTTTATGTGTTAGTTAGTGCATTTATCGAAGAAGGCTAAGGCTTTAAAACATCACGCTACGATTTGTAGGAGACGAGCAGCGGATGAAACCGCGGGAGAGTAGCTCAAATTATATACACAAGAAAATGTTGTTATCAAAGAAAATGTTTAAAAAAACAAAGAGAGAAAAATTGGGAAAGAAGTGATCCTTTCGTTGTAAGCGAGATACTTGGCCCGCGCGAAGCGGAAGCTAGTAATGAATAAAATAATTTTTACTTAGTCTCATCATTCTAAGAAACATTTCAAGAAACATTATACATGCTTTTCTTCTTTATATAAATATTAAAGTGAATCGCAAACTGTGTTGATATAAACCATATAACTCAACAATGCGTAAACCAATTTTACCAATTATTTTTTTGCAGTTGTTATTCTGGTAATTAGAAGGTTCTTATGAAAGAAAAGTAGAAGAGAAGTAGGGGAATGCCGCAAGGTGTTTATAAAAAAACTATTAAATTGCAAAGAGTGGCAAGTCAGCTTAGAAAAAAATTACACTTACACAGCTTCCTTAATCTCCTTGATACCAGCAAGGAACATATTAGCAATATCCTTCTCAAAACTCCGTACCCTTTTCCATTCTAGAGGCAACTCTCTGCCCTCCGACGTACTGGCAGTGACACGTAACACCCAATATGTTTCTGGTTTAAATGTTTGGATTTCATCATGACGTTGCACACAAAATCCCAAAGTTGGAGTTTGGCACGGTCCATATGATATAAGGGATGCGTCTAAGTCACCGTATCTACCTGTAATTTATAAAAAAAAATAAGGGTAATGAGGCTATCAGATTGGAATAGCATCCTTATACTTCTTTTTTTCTCCCTGGTACTACCTGGTATCCCTCATGCTATTTAGGATCTTATTCTCGCCCTCTTTTTATTACAACCTATTTCTTTTCATCCTTTTGCAATATTGTATTATCATAGATATAATCTATCCCACTGTGGAGCACATGTATGGAGTTATTAAGACCAACATTTTTTTCATTAAATATTTTTTCAATTTACATTTAGCAGCTCTGTTTTTGTTATTTTTAAGCTTCACACTCCAGTCATGTGTGATAATTAATAAACTGGTTTTTGCTTTATTACGGCCAGTAACATAAAAAAATAAAATTCAAATTTAAACATATAGAATAATTTTTGTTTTGATTACATTTCTAGATGCTTACATTTTTAAATAATATTTTTTCCTAATAAAGCCTTATTTTTTATATACTTTTATTGACTCACCTTGAAAATATTTTGTTTGAAACCTTGTAAATGCACAACCAATACGCAAATCAAGTTCTTGTCTTGCGTCAACACTCCGGGATTCATTTTCATTCGGTCTTCCCAGGTTTAACATAGCTGCTTTAATGTCTTTGTCTGTGATGGCAGAGAACTTTGCACGATATGTCACAAGAGGTGAACAAACATCACCTTTCATGTAAGCCTGGACACAACTCATTACCTAAGGACAAATAAAATGATTCATAAACCTACCAAAATCGGTGTATTGTTTTTTTATTAGGACACCTATTTAAAATTCATGAAAAAAAAAGATGCAATCTTAAAAAGCTATTAAAAATTTAACTTATTTTACTACATAACTAATATATTTTCTGTGAATAAAAATGTTAAAAAATAAAATAGAAAAATGCTAAGGAATTGTTTACATGCTGTTTATTAAATGATCATTATTAAAAGAAAGAAAAATATTTACAACTTACTTCGAAACAAATATTCTCTCCTTCTTTATCACAATCCAGCCACAAAATCAGATAGTCACAGGATTTAGACTCTTGCGCCAACAATGCTGGTATTCTGAGTCGAGGCATTGCCTCTTTCTTCTCTGTTGGGCAACTGAACAACTCGACCGGATCCACTTTGTCCCAATTATTATATTTACCGGTGAAATCCAAGCTCATAACGTGACCACATACGGAAGTCATTTTGAACCGAACTTGCTCGTTTTTAAATGTTCCGTGCCATTCGTGTATGTTACAAGCATTGTTAGATGCTGCAAAAATAGGAAATTAATATTATATTTTCATTAAAAATAAAATATCTATAGGTAAAGCAAACACGGTTATGCCACAAACCTTTAGTCGTACTGCATTTGCCATTGCTGAGAATATTAGCCACATTTTGTGCTAACGATGGCTTTTCAGCCACCATCAACGCAGTCTTCATGATTTCTTCTTGGTATTAAAAGATTTGCTCAACATGAAAACCAGGTACAATCCACGGCTTAATATTGATCCTCAAATAAGACTTCCAATACTTCCATATAGCAAGCAAATCCAACCAATGTGAAACTTCGGTGTCATTGTCATGTCAAAGTTGTCAATGTCATTTTAGGGTTGACCTATCAAAGACAAAAAATTTGGAAATAAAAAGTTATCACAATATATATTATGAAGTTAGTAATTTTCATGACTGCATAAAATTCTCTAATTCTAAAGAAACATTTTTATTGTTTAATAGTTCGTTACTTCCAACCAAGTTAAATAAAACTGTTTTTGAATATACTGCACATTGTTGCTATTTAGCCATAGCAACACTGTTGTTATTGACTTTTTTATTCCGTTCAAATACTTGCATCAAATAGTCCTTTTATCTAAAATTATATAACTGTTGTGTGTTTAAAAACGAATTAAGTTTTTATTATTACATATTTTATATGAATAAATACTTTAACATGATAATATTTATTAACTAACATAATTTTTCATCCTAAGATATAAAATCAGAATAATATTTTTTATAACAGTTGTATCATTAGTAAAGATAAGTTTATGAACTTCGATAATAAACGTCATTCAAGTGAATGAAGAGAGGTGCGCCTGCTCTAACTTGCAGTGATAAATTGTCGGAAAAACCTTGGACTATGCGAAGATCATTATTATATTGTATCTAAATTGCAATATAGTATCTGTACACGCGTTATCGTGAAAATAGTGAACTTTTCAATCCTGTGAATTCTAAACAGTGGACATGGTATTGACTTGTGACATTATAATGTTTTTTTCTCCAATTGTTTATTTATGTAACTACTTGCGTAGAATATGTGATATGTGAAAGTCGTTATAATGTTGCAGAGCCACCCTCGAAGTGATGTCAACATATGCACGGCGGCGCAGCTGAGAGTGATGTTGCCGACGTCAGTGGAACATAATATGCCTCCACCGTTTATCGATATAAGTAAGTAATTAATTGCAACGACACACGCACTGTTCATTTACATAGTGATCGCGATACGCGATAACAATATGCTTCTAACAAGATTTACCTGTAGCTATATTGACATGCACCTCATAAGGTTTATAAATATTGACTCTGTTACAATTGCAAGCAATCAAAGTTAGAATGAGACAATTGAATTATCAAATTTGAAGATGAAATATTGGCAAAATAAATGTGCTTTTTATCATGCATTTTAATTATCAGTGTACAATATCTTTTAATTACATCACAATTAATTATGTACTTATTATTCAAGCCTGTATATTATCATTTGAATATAAATCAAGTCCAGACTGAATCAATATTTTAACGACTGCTTGAACCATGACATCACCTTGAAATTCTATTTAATTGAGAAAATGATAAGGTTCATATTGTTTTGTAGACAACATTCATGATATACCACCTCCTCAAGCGGACTTCTCAGCACCACCCCCATATGATGTGGCAGCAAACTCTAAACTCCCTACATATGAGGAAGTTCAGAGGGAAAAACAGATGGAGGGGGAAGACCTGCCACAGGTAAATAAAACCCATTTTCAGTCATTCTATCCTTGTCTCACTAAGGTATGAAGCGACAACAGGTATATTTTTACTGAAGCATTAGCATTTAACATTTTATTGTTTGGGTATAAGGTGACACACCATAATTTGACAACCACTGTTGTCCTCAATCATTGGTTTTATTAATGCAGTATATTGCTATGATATTGTGTCATAGATGATATTGTTTCTTTAGTATGAGTCATTGCTATCATTCTTTTCAATATGGAATGGACTGTCTTTACAATTAACATTATGAAATATTGCACCTTTTTAGCTCTTATGATATTAAAAAAAAAAGATTAGCTAATATCATAAGAGCTAAGTTATTTGCTGAAATTCAAAAGTGCCTGTTGTGGTCTACTTGAAATAAAGAATTTGATTTGATATATTACATGCACTACAGTTTTCCCAGTTTCATATACATATATAATTCTATGTTTTGACTGTCTCAACATTCGAGTGGCAGCAAGTCTGCCAATTCCCTAGTTGTTTTTTTATTAGCATGTAGTCTTATGAATGAAATGAAATCATATTACAATTTAAAAATGAGCTCCTCAGCTCACTTTAAGCATCAAATGGTGTTACAAACAGAGCTTTTGTAAACTCTAAATTACAATAGGTATATAAAAAACCCACTACCAGTATGCCAACTCATTCATTTGTTTTCTTTTCCTGTACCTGGATAAAAGTGCCTAAGTACAAACGCACTGTGCTATAATCTAATCTCGTACTTGGATTACAGTGTAATATGTATATTATCTTTTGCAATAAAAATACACAAATATCTATATCTCAGATATACAGCTATCTATAGATAAAGAGATCAATGAATAATTCATATTTTTGTATTTACAAAATTTATGAATCACCATTGAAAATGATTTTGTTGTTTGTGGTGGGCTGTTATCATAAGTAGATAGTATACTTACCATTGATAAGTATATCCTATCATTGTCGGTTTGTGTTGGTGAGCCTATTTATACATTTGCAAATGTTTGATGTGATAACATACCTACTTAAACAATAGTTGCAATAAATTACGTCTTATTTGTTCTTGTTGCTAATTGTTATATAATTAATTTGGACTCAGTACTGTATGCAAACATAATTTTTAGTCATCCTGTAATTAGTCATAAGAGTAGTAGTCAGTAAATGAAATATAAATAAAATGAGATATCAGATTAAGCTGCTTCGGCCAAATTATTTTTAAATACATGACTATAACATAGCATTTTATGAAAAACCTATATAAAAAGGAGTTGTAAAATTTTTCCATTATTTTTTTATTTGGGTGAGCTGGGAAATAGGGTTCCTTTCATCGTTAGCAACATAGTAAACTAAGTCCGTACGAAACAGGAGTGGGCCGCTAGTATAAAATAGATTCGAATAAATGATAAACGGATAATAAAAAACTGCTCTTTATTATTTGTTTCTATAGTTTTTTTTTTTTGTAAAATCAAAGTATCTTAATTGTGTCACCAGCGTTGTGACAGTACACCTAAACTGCAAGATAAGCATGTAAGCTAATATTTCTTTTATTTAGATGCAAGGCCCTCCTCCCAACCACCCGACGTTCGCTGCCTTCGTAACGGTGGAGCCGACAGAAGGGTCAGCTGAACAACTGGATCCCGAGAACAGTTTACTCGGCACAGATATCATGTTCTTAACGTCATTTTTTGGTAAGTTGTTTTGTAAGCTTCTTGTATTTTGTGGATTTCTGCTTGCCTGTCTATAGTAACAAAACTAAACAGACTAATTATAAGCTAATTATTAAATGTGTTGCGGACCTAATTCCAACACACAACAATTGTCAGTGTTATCCACGAATGATTGTTTCGGGTCTAAGACTTCGTGTACGCACACCCAGCGCGCGGTTCGTCATACATTGCTCATATTGTTCATGTGTTTGTTTGTGCGTGAGCAATGATGCGGTCTGCTGCTGCAATGTAAGACAAAAACACGCCGCGCAATGAGAAATAAGTGTGATGTGTATGTGGTATTATTATAACATTCTTCTATGTATATGTACCCACGACACAGGAGAAAATCGGCGATCAGACGGCACGATTCATCGGGACTTTGAGACTTAGGGAGCGGTCGGGCAATCTCGATTATTTAGGGACACTTACAGCCTAACAGCAATCATACCAACCAATCAATCGGAATTTAGGCTTAGGTCACGATGAATCGTGACCTCTGATTGGTGTTATAATACTAACATAGGGTAGGTATTACGCGTGGGTCTGCAGACGGCGAGTAAAGGTAGCTTGCTGCCCGACCAGAACCAGACCCGAGCGTACGGCACGTAGCGTTCCGTGCGGGCCTCCAATAACCAATAGATTACCACAGATGGGGCCCTACAGGGCTGCTTTTCAGCCGGGGGTTGTGAGGTAAGTGCTATGTGACACTGCGGCCCCGGCCCAGAGCAGGAGAAGGAAGGGTTTAGTCAGGAACGTTTAGTCAGTAAGAGTCTGACAATCTCTCTCGCCTTTCCCTGACCGGAAGAATTTGAAGATTTTACCTTGCCTAAAAAGAAAGGGTACTACCACATCTACTTGATAACAACAACATGTTTGTTAATGTTCCAGTGGCATTCCTGTTCAACTGGATCGGTTTCCTGCTCCTGATGTGTTTCTGTCACACGGTGGCGAGTCGCTACGGTGCTCTGGCCGGCTTCGGTCTCTCGCTCGCTAAATGGACACTAATCGTCAAACATTCCACCGAGCTAGCGTCTCACGAGAACTCCTGGCTTTGGTGGCTCATTATGGCGTTTGGTAAGTTGTTGTTTTAATTATATTTATATTTAGTTATTGCTAACTGGAGGAGCGGAACCACCTTACACAAGCATACTGTTGCTTAAAAGGTGCTTCCACACATAAATTATGTATTGCATTATAAAACCTATAAATCACTAGCGGTCGTCCGCGGCTCCGCCCGCGTGGATGCCGATTATGCACTTTTTCGAGATGTTTTTTAATTTTCTCTAGGTACAAATCTTCTCTGGACTTCCGCGAATTTTTTAAGACCAAAATTAGCCTAAATCCGTAAAGGCATTGTTGAGTTATAACATTACAACGAAAAGTGGCACTGATTTTTATAGATTAGTGTACACTCTCACTATTTCTTTCTTTCACTCGTATCTTCTATTTAGTATCATCGTCATCAGCCTGTTTCTATCTCCAGCTGGAAATAAGCATCTTGAGTCTGAAGCATTTTTTTTTTAATCTTTATTTAAAGGAGCTTGTTCTGAAGCATTAGACATTGTTAAGCGCTGTAGCGAACTATTGTTTTCAAAAGATTTGCCTACATTAAAAAGCTTACAATTTACTGTAACATAATCCACTGCCTATTTACTGAATCAATCATTATTTTCTTAACTTACAAGTTAATGCCTTGTTTTTTATTGGCTAATATCATTATATGATATGACTTATTCCGCCGTGGTAAGGGCGAAGGGGCGCCAGACTTACTGACCCTTTCCTTCGCCTGATCCAGGCCGGGGCGGCGGCATATTATTGCGCTTACACCCACGACCCCGGCTTTTTTTTGTGAGGGGACAATCATCAAATGACTTCTCCCGCCCAGGGTGAAGCGAGAGGGAGTGTCAGACTCTTACTGACTAAAAACCCCTGTTCCTTCTCCTGCTCTGGGCCGAGGTCGCGGTGCCTCATTGCGCTTACCCCGCAACCTCGGCTGAACTTTAGCCCTATAGGGCCCCGTCTGATCCACGGCCCCGGCTGTAGCTTCTATTAGGTTACCTACCACTTCATTGTTATTTTCGTAGGAAAATAGTCCCACAATATTAACTACAAATCGCACTAGACTGTTTGATCAAATAAACTATAGGTAAGTACTGTGATGCGTGTGCCATTGTGCTCGCTTATCTTATTTATAACAATTAGTATATATTCTTCCGTGTATCACAGTGTCTTTTCTAGAATTGTATGAGGTTTATAAGTGTTTTGCGACAAACGTACGTAATTGAGACAAACCAGTTACTTAAGTGAGCTAAGCAGTTGCCGCGCATTCTTTGAAAATAACTGACATTAAAATGATCACATAATTGTCTATCACTATTCACGTAACCTTTCTAAGAAGCTTTATTTATCTAGCGAATGAGAGGTTTTGTATCTACTCGACTATAAGCTGAAATAATTTACCTTCTTTTTTGAAAGCGAGGGGAGGGGGATTGTCAAATGATCTCTTGTTTCCAGCCCTTGGTGGGGTGAGAGGGAGTTTCAGACTTACTGATTATTTTTTTCCTCTGTCTCCATCCCGGTAAAGTCGTTTTCATAATCGGATCACCTGATGACAAACTCGAAAAGCTACAAGTGCGTTGCAGGCCTTTTGTAATTTATGTAATGGGGGATTTGAGGATTGGTGATGGTAGGGATAGGGCCTTACGTTAGTTACCTCAATCACAAAGCGAAACTTAGCGTAAGCGTTGTTGAGCCGGTCCATTATTTCCTAAAGTTTAGGTTTAGTAGATAAACTGGTAATCTGGCATGTTTTTAAACTATGTTCCTTTCAAAGGAGACGGCTATTATAGTAACAATACGTGTGAACGTCCGTTACTTCAATCATCGTACCACTTAGCTAATCACTCCTAACTAAGCGGCGACCTACGCTACTCTATGATATAGGTCAATAGTACCAATTTGTACGTACGACTCTGAGTTTGTAACTCAAGAACGACTGGACCGATTTTCATAATCATGTCTAAGTAATTGATTAAGGTTACTAACGACAACTACCTATAAGAGGTTGAGTATAATTCTGCGGTGTTCATTTATAATGTTATAGCAAGTTTTCTTTTACTTAGCATTATCGGTTTTCCGATTTTCTCAGTAGTAACATGTCTCAACTAGCCGTATATGTATGTTCGGAATAATAATATTTGGAATATGTTTAGACAATTATAGAGATTCTCATTCTTATATATTCTTCTCTTAGCAAAGTCTCTTCTCACACGGAAACGGGTTGAACAATAATTAGTGGAATTAGTAGGGATTTCAAACTTTTAACTAAAAATTAAAAAGTCAAGCTTTCGTCACGTTTCCCTATACCGTTTGTAAGTGGTGTTTAAACACTATTTAAAAATGTACTTATAGCATAGATAAAGTCACGTTGGTATCTGCCAAATTGCGAATCCGCGCCCTCATGCATGAGACGCTTTAACATCCGAGCTACCACGACCTCGCCAATAACCGAGAAATAACAAAAACCACGAGACAGTTATGAAATCGATAGACATAATAATTTAATAATATACCAGATATAGGTATGTTCATTAATATTTCATGGGTATGTGACCGCGTGCAAACCACGGTGCGGTCACCTTGACCCCGCGGCATATTATTATGAATGACGTTGGCTCATGTAACTCACAACTAGATACGTATATATGCAATATTGCGGTCCTTTATTAGTACTAGGAATCGTTGACTTTTTTAGCATCGCAGCTGTGTAAACAGCTGTAGGCGCGCTTTGTGTGAACATAATTGAAATGCTTTTTTTGTCTCTTTGAAATAAAAGATTTTACTTTACGGCTAACTTTAAGTTTTTTTTTAACACAAACCATCTTCAAATAATTCCTGGAAATTATCCTTATGCTGCACCACGTTTATAAAATGCACGCACTAAGTAGACCAGAGGGCCTTGTGCAAGTTTTTTTTTTAAGGTATAGGTCGGCAAACGAGCAAATGGATTACCTGATGGTAAGCAATCAGCGCCGTCCGTGGAACATGCAACACCAAAGGAGATATGAGTGCGTTGCCGGCCTTTTAGGGATAAGGGATTTCGATATTTAATTTTTCACGCCGGTTTTCTGTGAGGCCTTGGTATCACGCCGGTCGAGCCGACCCATTCGTACCGAAGCTTGGCTCTCCTACACTTAAGATTAGTTTACTTGACATTGCAGCGATCGTTGATGACGTTCGGCGCTCTGATTGGTCTTTTCCAAGTTAACTGACCAATCAGAGGGCTTAAACAGTAACATTTCGATCGCCTCAACACGAAGCAAATTCGCACGAGACACTGTTGATGAAATAGAACTCGTTTTACCTACTTTATTATGCAAGCTATTAACAACACATATTATGCGCAATCTTGTCACCTATTGCAAATGTTTGCATATTCCAAGTTGAACAAATGTCAACTCTACACTTGTATAAATAAAGTTGACTTGAGAATGATGTTTACTGCATACTAGAATTATTAAGAAGGTCAGGAATAAAAAACAAGGTTTAGTTTTAATTTAATCTCAACTTTATATTTGAGCAGTAGAATTGCTTTTAAAGGTTAGAATTATGTAGGTATTTGATCTTGGGATTTATTTGCACTAAAACCTTCTTTTACGTACTTGTTTAAGATACACTATTTTTTGTGAATACGGCTGCAAATGAGCACCTACATCTACGCCTGATGGTATTTTGTCATTTTTGACGTTTGGTCGTATTAGAAAATAGAGGATTTAGGGTTTAGTGTTGGGAAGAGACTAGTCCTCCGATAGCCTTACTCACACTGAGTTAAACTAAGCGAGCCTTCTTAATGCCAATTTTCTTTGTCGTCGTGGTATTCTTGGTAGTCTGGTCTAGCCGGCCCACTCATACCAAAGCGTGGCTTTCCCATACTTATAAATAGACTTGTCCCTAATCCCCAAAATGTCGCCCTCGTAACTCCTCCGATGTTTCGGGTGTCCATGGGCGGCGCTGCTTGCTTTGCATCAGGTATTCCTTTTGCTCGTTTACCATCAATCACTTAAAAAAAATGTCAATCACGAGATATGTTTGTTCAACATTTTACTATTCCAAATGATAAATAAGTAGGTAACATTATCTTAATAATTTCATTAATTCACCAAACCCCAAGCAAATGTTACCTGCGCGAGTCTGCGGACGGCGAGTAAGGGTAGCTCGCCGCCCGACCAGAACCAGACCCGAGCGTACGGCGCGTAGCGTTCCGCGCGCGCCTCAAAGAGCCAATGGACCACCACAGACGGGGCCCTATAGGGCTGATGTTCAGCCGGGGTTGCGGGTTAAGCGCAATAAGTCACCGCGGCCTCGGCCCAGAGCAGGTGAAGAAAGAGGGATTTTTAGTCAGTAAGAGTCTGCCACTCTCTCTCGCCTTACCCTGGGCAGGAGAAGTCATTTGATGAGTTTCCCCTGACAAAAAAAGCAAACGTTCCCGCACTCATTGTTTTACTACTGCGTCTCGTTTTATCACGATTGAAATGTAAAAAAATAAAAATGGCGCTGATTGACGATGTATTAATATGACGTTCTGAACATTGTCGTTGATTGCTTGCGTTCATGGTTAGTCGTAGGAGATAACGAGTTCATTGCACCACGACTATGTTTTCATATCTCTTTATCGAAAAAGGAATACGTGGAATATTGAATAGTATTATTATGCAATGGTCAAGCAAAGAGTTATTGAGCGTTTTTGTTATTTTCTATAATTCACAGTAATAAAAGCCTGGAATAGAGCTTTGTCTATGGAAATAGGTACTCCATGACAAGTAGGATTCGTAAAGTATTGAAAAAAATTGCGACAAACATGATTATATTTAACATTAAGTAACGAATTTGGAAAAGGAACATGGTAATTGTAGTACGTAAGTGTCTGACACTCCCCTCGTCCCACACCCCTACAGGGTAGGAGAAGTCATTTGATGTTTTAAACATTAATGAAACAAGTGTAGGAGACTCAAGCTTCGGTACGAATGGATCGGCTCGACCGGAGTGATACCACGGCCTCACAGAAAACTGGCGTGAAACAATGAAACAATAAAACAATGAACAATGAAACAATGAATTTATTTTTGCAAATAGGCCATAAAACGGCACTTTTACACGTCAATTTATATGTGAAAAACTAGATGAAGCCGGCATTTCCTATCTGACTACTCTGAGAAGAAATGCCGAAACAAACTCAGAGGTCAGTCTCTTTTCAAGTCCAGACAATATAAAATAACATAATGTGAGAGAACCGTGCAAGTTCATTCTGTAGTGGTCTTTTGAGGAAAGAACCACACCAGTTTAAGTGGACCCGTTCTGAAGACAGGCACGCAAGTGTCAGTTTGCAACCAGTATAGCTAGTGCTGTTGAGTTGTCCGACGAACAATACCGATCTAAAGAACATTTGGGTGGGTCGCGCAAGTACTCAAACTGTCAGAACGCAGATGACTGGTGATCAAAAAGCACGACAAGTCTCACACGGTCCTTACACTAACAATAATATAAAATAATAAAAATGTCAACAAATAAATTAAAAAAAATGTCAAATAAAAAATAAAAATGTCACAATAGGTGATCATGTCATTGTATAAAAAAAAAATAAACGTAATGTCAAATTGTATATAAAAGTGTAACTTAGGTTACAAACATGTCAACATGACCTGTGCAGACATTACAGCGGCTCATTCCCAAGCCTGACTATCCTCTAAGTAGTCTTTTATTTTATAAAATGCTTTACAGCAAAGTTTAGCCTTTATTACACTTTTAAATTTATTGAGGCTCAAATTTTGAATATCGCTAGGAATTTTATTGTAAAAGCGTATACATTGACACCTAAACGAACTACTTATTTTCTGAAGCCTGGAGGCGGGGACAACATATTTGTTTTTCCCCCTCGTGTTAATATTATGTATATCACTATGCTTCTTAAATAAGCTTTTGTTTTTATGAGCGTGAATTACATTTTCATAAATATATTGTGAGGCAACCGTCATTATCTTAGTTTCCTTAAATAATACTCTGAGCGAATGCCTCGGACTAAGATTATAGATTGATCGAATAGCCCTTTTCTGCAGAACAAAAATAGACTGAATGTCAGCAGCATTCCCCCACAACAAAATACCGTATGACATGATGGTGTGGAAATAACTAAAATAAACTAACCGCGCTGTATCTACATCTGTTAAATTTCTAATTTTTTTAACGGCATATGCTGCAGAACTGAGCTTCTTCGACAAGCCATCTATATGTGGGCCCCACTGGAGCTTAGCGTCCAGGGTTATACCTAAAAAGACAGTTGTATCTACAGGACTCAACTCCTCGCCCTTGCAATACACGAGGGGGAAAAACAAGCACACTGGTTTTTACCTGTTTAACATTTGGTGTTGTGAATTTAATACATTTAGTTTTAGTTTCGTTTAGTAATAAGTTATTAACACCAAACCAGTGAACTATTTCTGAGAGAGCACTGTTTACATTGTCAATAACTAATTGTCGTCGTCTGAGTTTGAATAATAGTGAGGTATCATCAGCAAACAGCACTATCTCGTGTTTATCCCTTACAAGGTAAGGCAAGTCATTAATATAGATAAGAAATAAAAACGGGCCGAGAATAGAACCCTGCGGAACACCCATCTTCACAACAGACCCGGCAGAAACCACTCCGTTTACTTCAACTCTCTGAACCCTATTACTCAGGTATGAGGTAAGAAGGTCCAGAGATGCACCTCTTATTCCGTACTGGGATAGCTTCCTGATCAGTGTATCATGAAGCACACAATCGAACGCCTTGGATAAATCACAAAATATTCCCAAAGCGTCGCTTGAGTCCTCCCACGCGTCGTAAATGTGATTAAGAAGTTCAACACCGGCATCAGTTGTTGAACGACCCCTTGTAAATCCGAACTGTTTCGCATGTAATAATTTATTTCTATTAAAAAATCTTTGCATTTGATCTAAAATATTTTTTTCAAAAATTTTACTGAACCTAGGTAGCACTGAAATAGGTCTAAAGTTAGTGGGGTCAGAAGTACTACCTGATTTAAATAATGGAATTATTTTACTACATTTCATAAGATCAGGAAACACACCACAATCAATACAGTTATTAAAGATTTGAGCTAATACAGGTGCTACAATAGTTATTACAGAGCTTGTAATATACACAGAATTGCCCCATAGATCTGCAGTCTTTTTGTTATTCAAAGTAAACAACCACAGCGTTGTGTTTCGCCGTGTGAGTGAGGTTATCGGAGGCCCAATCCTTCCCCTCCCCCGATCCCTCCCCGATCCCTTAATCTCCAAAATCCTAATCCCTAAGAGGTCGGCAACGCATTTGTAACTCCTCCGTTGCGGGTGTCCACGGGCGTTTGATTACCATCAGGTAATCCGTCTGCCGGTCTATAACATAAAAAAACCAATAGGAATAAAAACAAACCAACCAACTCCAACACCAGGCCTATGTTCAGCAGTGGACGTCCTGTGGCTGATATGATGATGATGAACCAACTCCGTAACAAATTGCGAAAAAATTATTGACATTTTTACTACACAGAATGTATCAAATGACGTTCATTTATTAGCACCTGTATGTGAAGCCAATATTTGTCGAATACAATGCCGAATAAATACTATTTTGTTATCAACTTAAACTCGACAATTTGATTTCCATATTATTCATAACGTACGTCGTATAAATATTAAAAAAAAAACATCTCGTTCTAGCTATTTATAAACGAATTTGAATTTTAAATTCGTTTTAATAGAATTTATTTTCATCTGATTACAATGATTGGATTGATCATTGTGTCAGCTGTCTGACGTAAATACTGTTTAGTCGTAGTAGAATGACGTCATAAGAAATCTCTTAGTGTTTTTAAGCTATTTAGGTTTTTTATTATTATTAAAATTCCAGCTTCGTTGATCGCGTGGTTCATTATTGCAACTTGCAAAGGTTGGAAATAGTGTTTACTGGGTTTTTGCGATTTTGTAATAGTAGGTATCTAACATGGAGTCTTATTTAGCCTGGTATATGGAACCACTTATCGGCCACCACCTATGATTAACCAGGGTCGGTCCAAGGCTGTGCGCTTTATGTTAACGGCGCCGCCCCAAAGCGAACCGAACCTCGAAATAAAGACTCCGAGCTTTTTATCTTAGGAGTGCATTTTTATTTCTAATCCCAATTCAAACTATATTTATTTATCTATTAGGAACCCTAAAAATGTGATAAAGTATATAATTATTACTATGTCTAGCTCTAATCCTTTGAGAGTTATCGAAGAAGAAGTTCGAGCCATATCACAGGCATCCTTGATTAAGATATTTAGTTGTGTAAGCTAGTATCTAAAATTGTTGACGAAGGTCTTATGATTGTCATTCTAATAACTTTCCTTGTGTCTTTCTTTCAGGTATCTTAATCTGCGTTCGTGCTATAATCCAGTACCTGAACATTAAGCGCGGCTGGCGTCTACTCTCCGGCACAGCTCAAGAGCGACTGCTCTTCTTCTACTAAACCGCACGCTTTTGTTTCACTCAAATACGCATGTAAGCTGGTAGTGCGACAAGGATGGATATATGTTTCTCGTTTAGATTATAATGTCCTTATAGCGAGGCGTAAAGACGTAAGATGTACCCTTTATTGTGAGTTGTCTTGCCCTTTACGTTCAAGCTATTGGTATGAATCTATGATAACAAAGTAAATTGATTGTTTAGAACATGCTTAGTGAATGTTTAAGGAATATCAGTAACGCATAAGGACATCTATTTACTTCTAAATCCGTGTTATCACACAATATTAATCCATACTCGCAGGTTGCTTTGACATACTAGAGCCATCTAGTGTACGAGAGGTGGTACTAATTAAAATACAGCGCCATCTCTTTTTCAACAGACAAAATGGTTCTTGTATGTCATAACAGTCTCTGTGTGGATTGTTACTATCATCACAGAGTTGTGTTTCAAAGACATGATAAGCCAATATTTTACTATGTGTAGATATATTTTTAATTTATTATTATAAGTAGCTCAGCTTTAGTCTTATATTTGAGCAGATATTTTTTATATATGCAAGTTTGATCGTGCTGATTGTGAACGAATAGGGATGTCTCACCGATGTGAAGTTTTATTGGTAAATAATATTCGGGTACTTATTTTGTATAGCACTACTAATTGGATTTTAATAATTAATAAACTCGAATTATAATTTTTCTATCGTGTGAAATCATTCCGTTGGTGTAAAATGCACTAGTTAAGTGTAGAGTTGTTATCGTTATATTTCTAAGCTAATGCACGCCGTCGTTGTTCGAAGTTAATCATTGTTGATTTTATTTCATATTGATTTAGTGCAGCGTTTATTTGTAGCAGATTCATTGCTCGCTGAACATAAAAATAGTAGTCGTACAATGTGAACTTGCTAAAAGATTAAACCACTATCTAAAGGTCCCGTAATAGTTGAACTTGTAAAGTAATTTGAGCGTTAACTTTTTCCAAGCAACTTTACATAAAAGTAATTAATAAGTATTATACAAACTCAAGTTTATTGGTAAAATAAATATTTCTGATCGCTTATAGGGTCTCCATTATGGAGTTTATTTTTATTCATTAGGGGTGATTTTTCAACGGTTAGATAAAAGTTACCTGGGGAATAATTATGATGCTGTCGCTTCAGAATGTTTGTATAAGACAGTGACAGCAACAATTTTATTGCTCAGATACCATTTATCTGACTATTGTAAAATCAGCCCTAAAGGAAATATTTATTTGTTTAATACGAAGGTGCTTGTGCTAAAAACCTTTGTATAAAGATCTGATTTTATTTGGTTTTCAATAAAAATAAAAATGTGTATGGCTTTATTGCTATATATTTGATCACCGACGGAGTGTTGGTAAAATTAAATTTATCATAAATTACTAATTGTTAAGGATCTAAATAGAGGCCGCGTCTGTTAGACCCTAGTCTAGTTTAATTAATATTTCTCCTAAAAAAAAATCTGCTACTTACCAACAAATAAATTATAATATTTTCATCCTTTTTATTATATTTTTTCCACATAGAGACGGTACTATTTTGTATATATATATTGTAAACTAGGTCATTTATACTTTAAATCACGTGAACTTTTTCTTTGTACTTACTTTTCTACATTAAGTTCTACGGACCGTGGGTTTGGCAGACCCCGCCCTGCTAATAAGTGTATAGAGCAGAAATGGTGACTTAGAGCCGCAATATTAACAGCTAGTCTGTATTTATATACATATTGAAGTATATAAGATCCTACTTTATTAATGTAAGACTCTGACACCCGGTTTCTGAAAGGCTTGTCAACGCTAAAATTAACTAATCTCCTGTTAAAACTCTTGTCAGGTCATCTGATTGGTTGTTGATAATTCAGTCAACCAATCAGATTACTTGACAAGACATTAAATTGATTTTAACATTGATCGGCCTTTCGGAAACCGGGGGTGAAAGTTTTTTCGTAAAACTGAATTACATTTTCAGTTTTCACATATATCTTACCTTTTCTATATTTTTTAAGCAATTAAATATTTTTTCTGTTTATAAGACATGTTTCGTTATTGTTTTATTCATTCCGTGCTCCTGAACTATCGTTTTTTTATTGTAAATTAATAAAGTAGTTACCTTATATAAATGTGCTTTTTACCGATCCTTTTTGAAAGCCATTTTTGGTTGATAAAGAAATAATAATGGTAATAATATATTGTACGTTCGCACCTCGTTATAAGGTTTAGATTGCAATGATTTAATGAGAAGTTTTTATACATTAGTTTCTAAATTCCTTGTATTTATTGTAACATTTGTTGTATTTCATTAATTGGATAGTGAATTGATTTATTATAAATTTTATTTGGTAGAAAAATTTGATTTGGGTGCGCTTCGAAGGCGCATGTTCTGGTATTATCTGCAGAGGCTATTAAAATTTACTTAATCTAAATTACGAAAAAATCTTTTGTATTCTAAATTCTGTCATTTCTTCAATGATCTAAAAGTCACTTTCATATAAATTAAACAAGATTCCAAAAACGACACTAGCGCCTCTACCAATGAATCTTGTCATTGAAAGATCTTGTTAATTTGTATATACGTCTGTTTTTTTATATTCACCCAATGTGAGAAAGAGAAAGAATACTATAACTGGAAATCGATGTGAAGAAAAAATTACTTCATATCAAAATTAAACAAGACACCAAAATCCTAGCTATAAAGGTATTACTTTTAAATTTCCAATTATCTGGCTTGTTCCTATCTAAAATTTCCAGATGTTTTTATTTTTAATATTTGTAATGTATTGTATGTTTTTGGGTTCCATAAAATATTTAGCTTAGTTTCACAGGGATCGGTAACTAGTACATAAGTCATGTTTTATGTAAAATCCTTTACACATAAGGACTGCTTTAAGATAGATTGAACCTCAAAATGTTATTAAGCGTAATGTTAAGTTGGGTACACACTGTGGCAAAGTTTAAATACAAATAATGTACTTACACAAAATGTAGCACCCTGTATTCTTTTGTGGTAACGATATATTATTTTGTCTGGCTTTAGAGTAATTTAAAACTTTAGATATATATAGTTCCTTTTCTTACGCAATCAAATACTTTCGGTTATATGATTTGAAACCTTATGTGACGTTACAATTAGGCTCATTTTATGCTGTCCAATGACGTAGCTATAGTTAAATTCCTTATCTAAATTATCGTTTTGTTATACGAAAAAGAATACGTGTCTTATGTTTTTTTATTATTTAACTGACTAAAATAGATTTTTTATTCTCATACTCTGTTGCTACCCTTATTGAAAATAACCATCAAGGATCCTAGTACTAGGGCGGATAAAAAGGTTTCTTCGCAGATTGTCGATTCGAAGATTTTCGACTAAAGTCGCTTATTGATCCCTACAGTTTGTGAACACAGTACGCACCCAACGTAACATGAATTCTGTTTAAAAATTCACACCATTTTGAAACTAAGGCCGCGACTTTTTGTATTTCGCACCAAAAATTTTATGTCAATAAAATTTTCGTGATTATGTGATTAGATAACTTTATTTTTAATATAATGTTTTAGTGCAATAATGTCTAGTTCAGAGTTTCTAGTGGAAATAAATACGTTATAATTATGTTTTGATTTATTTCTCTCTGCATCTAATTTTATTGACTACCCCTACTTGATGAATTGTTTCTTATACTAACAAAATAGACCTTGTTTGGTTAGTATAAGAGCCATTCTTCTTCATCTCAATCAATTATACAATAATCTCAAACGGCTGCATCAAATTGAATAAATTCTTAATGTTTTCGTTGTCATCGAGATGAGATGAAAAACTTACCTTTACTGGAAAAGTCACGAAGAAACAATATTTATGTTCAATGTAATAATGCGCTGAGGATGATGTTGGGACTACCACGATCAATGATATTATATGTAAAATGGTTATAAGTAGATTGGCACATTAGTGCACACAAGAATAAAGCGTTTGATACACGTTAACGGTTAAAGTGGGATGGCATGATTCAATAATCGCGAGTGAAAAAGAGACAAATATGAAAAAGTGTCGCTAGTTAGCCACATTTTAATATATCACTTGCTGAGCGCTTGTAACATATCCACACCTTTTTACTTAAATATCATTGGCCACAATGGTGCAGCGCGACTGGAATGTTTGCGAAAGCCAGATTAGATGACTTCTATGCCATTTTGCGCAAGCGATGTGCATGGATGATGCGGCGATTGAGGGACTAACTAACAGTATACTAGCTATACTGGCAGACAAAATTGATGGGCCGTTAATTAGACACTGGACAAGTAGACATATTGTGCGTCATGGTGTCTATGTCAATAACTCATAAATATTAACTAATGGTTTCTAGCTAACAAGATAAGAATTAATAAACACGTATGGATCTCTGAAGGACTGCAAACAGCCTGAGCGATCCCCTCTGGTAAGAAATTGTGTGCGCAGTGGAGTTACGAATGCGTTGTAGATTGGGGATGAGGAAAGGGGGAGGATTGAGTTCGGACCTCCGGTAACCGCAGCCACACAACGAAATGACGCTAGCGTTGTTATATGCCGGTTTTCTAAATGGCCTTTTGAATAATCCAAAGAAGCTCCGGCCCATTCATAGGCATAGCTCTCCCACACTGCCATTTTTATTAGTAAATTCAATATGTCTATTTTATAAAATTTATTATTAAGTATTTTCTATGGCTTGCACGTGTAACTGTTCAGATGGCTGCACGTCGTGTTCGTCGCGCAATGTTTCTCGTGGATAGGAGCCCCAGCGTGGCTTGAAACTAGTCTTGTTTTATAAGCCGCTAAATATGATTTATCACCTATTGTTAACTGTGCAATAGCCAATGTTCTTCACAACTTGTAGTCTGACCAATAAGCGCTACTGACGGAATATTCCTTATAGTGGGGTAAAGGAGCCAATGTATCGCCTGACTGTAAGCAATCAACGCTGCCCATGAATACCAGAGCCAGCAGAACCAGAGAATTATAGTGCGTTGTCAATAATTGGAATAGGAAACGGTGACATGGGCTACAAGAGGCTCAATACCCAACTCTTACTGAAAACACAAGACAAGCGTTATTTCACGCCGATTTTAGTGAGGCCGCGTTATAAATCCGATCAAGTGGCATTCGTATCAGCATGGCTTTCTCACACTTCAATTATATGTATATCATTAAACATCGGTAAGATAATCTTAACATTTTAACGCTGCGGTTGATGGAGTTAATAAAATATGTAGGTACATACGTAAAACCGGTGCATTACTCGATGCTAAGCAATTAGCACCTTCCATGGACACCCACAACCCCAGAGAGGTTACGAGTTGTAAGCCTTTTG